CCAAAAATTTTGAAAAGCATCAGAAACAATTTCGTGCAGTTTTGAACCATTATTAGAAAAGACGACATATTAATGAGATATGCATGTTTCTAGACAAGTTAACATGTCCTTATATATTTGAGAAAAAAATAGACCAAGGTTAGAGTTATTCTTAACTGTTACATCTTATTTCATTTTTCACAGTAGCCTTAAAACTTGTATTGTAACTGAAGTCGCCATTAGGACATTCTCGAATGATATCTGCGTGGCATGACTATCAAAAACATAGCTATACTCTTAATTTGACTCATAGCCTTATCCTACATCATATTCTCGAAATATTAAAAACCTCTTTTAGCCGTTTTTACAATTCTACAAAGTTCTTTTAGCGGATTACTATATTTTCTCTTCGCAATATCAATTTTAAGTAGGAAAAATTGACTTGATTAACTACATGTGTCTTCATTATGAAAAAATTTTTTTTCAAAAATCAATTTCTGTGTGAGAACAAAATAAACGAATGGACCAAATCACAAATCAAACGACAATCAAGCAGGGCATGAAGGATTGGATTCGCCTCCATCACCGCCGCCTAATGGACGAAAACGTTTTTCAACATGTCCCCGACAGTGATCTGTTTCACAATCCTGAAATATCAAATTATATATAGTTCGCAGACGCACTACGAATGTGGTCATTTCTATAAAATTTAGCTTTCAGTGTAGTGTAGTTCCCCACAAGCAAAATAATTTTTCATGAGCACTACAGCTAATGAAATGCGAAAGAATTTCAAATATCACTTTTCAATAAATGTTATTTGCAACGGTTGTTGAGCAATACTTGAAAGACGATTGTACAAACAATTTTAACTATATTAATCATTATATCCCGGAAAATAACAGCTCTGATACTTGGAAAAAACGTACAGAATCACTGTCGCTATCAGAACTTTCATCCCATTTCTTCGACTTCTTGTAAATGCAGCAACATTTCGACTTATGCCTATCCAAAAATTCATTATCTATCGTATCTGTAGACCAGCGCACACTACAAAGGTACATTACTTTGAATATAATGCGGAATCACTTTCGTATTTAGATATGTTAGAAACCAAAGACCTATAAAGATTAAAGCACTGATTTATATCGTTCATTAAATATAAATACAGATCAATAGTAACATAAGACAATATAAAAGACGAAATAATACGTAAAATTGCCTTTTATTTCTCAATTTGATCACTGTTGCAAAGACATGAAATTAGCTTACCGTGGTTCACGTGCCAGGTCTGGAGAGAGAGTAAGTTGTTGTACCGCAATCTAGAAAGGAAACGACTTCTAACAAAAAACAAATAAAAAAGAACTTAGAAAGAAAACAACTCCTAGCAGCAAAAGTTAAAAATAACGCAAATTTAAGTGACGCTTAATCACTTATTAAAAAAAGAAAACTCAAACAAAAAAAAGAAAGAGCAAAAAGGAGTAGCACTGTCGAATTTATCATAGCCTCCTTAGAACATATGCCTTCTACAAGCAGTCGTTCATCACATAGATATTTCCTCCTTTAATTCTCAATTTTACAATCTTCTCAAAGATTAGCCTCTGAGAAAAATCGATATCAAAAGAGACGAAATCGAAGCGGATCATGCCTAGTCCATATTCTAAACAAGACGTCAAATGATGAAACTAACTGTTGGATCGATAGATTCTTCGACTATAGTAATTGTTGAGGTATTACTAGTTTGTTCATTTATACGGCTCATTTCAATCCTGCAAACAGTTTTATTCTATGAATTATTCACAGACAAATAAAAAGACCAAAATTTCTACACGGATTCAGCTCAGCCCGTTTTAGAGCAATTCAACTCAACCCGTCTCAGCGCAATTCAGCTCAACCCGTCTCAGC